TATGAGGTGTCTCTTTGTTCAGAGGTCAGCCATGCCCCAGCCATGTCACAGCACTGCACATGTTCAACTTCTAGCATCAACCACTCCCAACACAGAGTAGTTCATGGTACTTCAGAAGCTATGGAAGAAATAAAAGATATATGGCAGTTGGCATGATAAGTTTGAAATCTAAAGGCAAAGACTACATTTCAGAACTAACCAGAGAAAATACCCTAAGCAGGCAAAAATCTGAATGATAAATGGCATGTGACTTAATGTAGACTATTCAGTGTAGGCTGCATCAAAGAGAATTTAACCTGAGCTTTGAGAAAATGAGTAACAAGATATGGCATTTAATCTTGGGCCAGAAGGACTGGCCAATGGACAGATCTCCAGAATAAACAAAGCCCTGGCCAAAGAACATGGATTAAGTGTTCTGAAATTGAGGATTCTTAATGAAGATTACATTAAAAATTCTAAAATTACGTTTTGTTAGCATGAATGAACCCATTAAGAGCCAATTCATGAGAACCACTATTATTATTATTAACCTTTAAAAAGTTCATCGTTTCAGCCTTTTTATAATGAAAAAGGAAGACATAGCAAAAAGTCTGTGATGCTAGACTGAGGGTGTGGTTAGCACATTTTCTGTACCCTAAATTCGTTAAAAGATTAAAAAGGACGATGGCCTAAAGATATTTGTTTCTGTTCCTGTCTCTAAAGGAAGGGACATGCTCTTAACATGTCTTTCATCTGTGGTTTCAGACTCTATTTGATAAAGTCAGGTTTTTATATTATAGGCTATTTAAAAATTACATAACTAATAAAAAGAACAGCTGTGCAAGTAGCTCCTCCTCTCCAACAAGAAATTAGAGTGCAACATTTGAAAATTGACACAATATAGCTTTTGTATAAATTCATTGATTTATTTTTGTTTATTTTATTTTAAAGACGATAAAACTAAATAAAACAGAAAAAAGCAGATCAGAAGAAAACAATGTAAGTGACACATTTCAAAGTAAGACTACAGGAGATCTAAATGGTGTCTATAGCTTCACACACAACAAATTCATACAAAACAAAATAGTATAAAACCCAACAGAACAGAGTGATGAAGTCATTTTAGGCCTTCAAAACCAGAGGATAGGAAAATTAACAGTGGCTAACATGTCTCTAGTTCTGTTCAAAATAGCTGTCCATGCCTTCATGTATGTTGAAATTAAACAATACAAAACAGACTAAAACAACTCTAAAAAAAGAATAAAAGCATTACTGTTTTTTTCAGCATGATGATAGGAAATCACAAATGGATACCATAACGTCTCTTTTTCTTTAGAGTATTTGTTCATTTCATCATATATAATACAATCAATTCTCGTAAAATGTTTAGGAGAAGTTCTAGACATGTATAAGCCTTTACATTTATACCTATCCTTTCTGCATTAGAGGGAAAAACAAAACAGATTACTAGAACATTAAAAAAAGACAAATAAATAGCAATAGTATAGAGCCCAAAACAATGATGATATAGGCCTTCAAAGCAAGGTGGTATGAACATAACTAGGATTTTTATTTTACATCATGATCTTCAAGAGTTCCTCAGATCACCAGACACTAACATGCACAATTGTTCCAATCCTATGAATGCTAACTGTTCTGTTCCAAGAACTTATAGAATTTGTAGCACGATCATCTTAGCTATCCTAAGTGTGTTTATTTAATTTTAGATATTTTTCCCTTCCTTTTTCTTTTTCCTCCTTTTCCCTGAGTTATTACTTTTTTCCCCTTTGAACAGATTCTTATCCTTTCACTGTAGTTACTGAGGATTTTGTATCTTATGTGTTCTTACTATTTCTTACACTAGGGAAACAATACAGTATTTACACGAGTGAGTTTGATTTATTTCACTTATGAGTATGATCTCAAGCTGCTTCCATTTACTTATAAATATCTCAATATGATCATTTTTATAGCTGAGTAGACCACCCTTGTATAAAAGTACCACATCTTTTTTTTAATCTATTCCTCAGTTGATGAGCACTTAGATTGTTTCCAAGATCTGGCTATTACACATTGTGCTGCTATAAACATGGGTGCATATATATCACTGTGATATTATTCATTCCCAGAAGAATTGAAAACGTCAATTTGTTGATTTTAAAATGATGTTTAATTCACCGCCTTTTTTGTTGCCCTTGTTGCCAAGTCACATGTAGGGCTGGGATGCAGAGACAAGCTGTGTGGTTCTGGGTTCCGCAGGCCAGGGTGAGGCCCTTACTACAGGGCAGTCTGTTCAGGTATGTGTGGTCCTCAGTGTTTGTTGCAGGCTCCTGACCCAGAATGGAGCCCGGAAGGTGGAAGAGTGCTTCCCATACTGGCTCGGGACCAGCGCATCCAAGACCTCTCTCCATTGGAGAATTGAAAGGGAAGAAACAGTTAATCTTTATCAGTATTGTTTGATGTGTGTTAAAGGACCAGAAAAAAGTGACTATAATTAGAAAATCATTCTAGAAAGTGATTGCCCACTCTTAAGAAGAAATGACATTTTAAATTTATTTTATACTGAATAGCTAAGAAAAAAAAGATTTAAAATTTCTCTTTGAAATTTTGAATGAATGTATTTGAGGGATACTTTGACAGAAGTAATTATTAGTGGTTTAGAATTAGTCCTTTCTTTGCTAGGTAAGAATAATGTAGAGGAAAGGTGTTTATCTTTGCATTTGTATTTCATAAATGCTTCACTCAAGATCGGAGTGTGAGTAAATTCTTTATCCATGTGGCATTATGAAATGCACAAGTGATGAAAAATTCTTTTTCTAAAATTGTCCATCTTTGTAAAAACTGCCTGACAATTTTGATAAGAAATAAAAGATAATTATGGAGTTGTTTAAATAGTAATATAATCTGTTGCCTAAAGATAAAAGCTTAGTTTTATTTTATATTAACTTAAAAAGTAATTTTCTATGGATGACCTTTGTCTTTAACATTTTTATATTTATATTCATAGAAACTTCAAAGGTAAGTGCTCAAATTTTCTTTCAATTTATTTATTCCTTACATAAATAAAGCTTCCTTATATAAATGTATACTTGTAAAATGGGTTCATTTTCATTATTATGAGAAAACTACACATGCTTCTGGCCATTTCATTCTAATTTAAAGAGAAGTATACGAATCAGATGTGACAAATAGTGTGAAGCGAGTTCAACTGAATAAATTTCTTAGAATATTTCCAAGTCTTTTTTGTTAAGCATCTTTCAAGTTGCTTAGTATAGGAAAAATATGAGTCTAATATAAATGTGTGTTCCATTGAAATAAAGGAAAAAATCATCTGATTTTCTTTGTTAAATGACAAGAGACAAGAATAAATTAATGCAGACATGATCTGCTTAGGTATTTTTAAAGTACACATATGAATTTATACATAATTTCTTTGTGACTTGAGCAATAATGTTTATTCCTTTAAAATCTTCTGAAATATGCTTGCAATGTTTTGTAAATGGTTATTGTTTTTCTCAACATTTTAAGTTAATATAAATAAATGTCTCAACACCTACAAAGCGTCAGTATCAACCTTTTGGCAGAATTTCCGTAGTTTAAATAATCTTTTACCCGTATTTCTCTATCTGAAGTTTAAAAGTAAGCTGGCAAGCACAATTTGTATAGAAAAGTTTACTTTCTGAAGTGCATCTAAATGGCACTGAATTAAAGGAATTGCCTGAAATCATTTTTAAAATTTCACTTAGATGTCAAGGGTTGAATTTCTAGTTTAGTGACTTGCACTTTTATTTGTAAATTGCGTAATAAACTTTTCTCTTAGAATTCAGTCACTGCTAAGTACTTCTTCATATGTACATTTTAAGCAGCATTCTGAAAAGTGATATATTTTGGAAATATTTTCAGTAGATACATGGCATAAGGGAATTAGTGATCTAGAAGGGAAAATCTAAAAACCCTAGGACATAGACAAAAGGCTTTTGGCTTTATTCCTATATTACTTATTTGGTGTATTAGAATCTTTTTCAAATTTGTAAGTTGGTTCTGAATTGAATTCTTTCTCTTACTATGTGCCTAGGTAGATTGCCTTCTTATATCAGAAACTAGAATAACAGCATGGCATAGTAGCATCTTGGTTTTTTACCCCTTCAGTGGGTAGAAAACTTACCCTGAACATCAATTTGCTTATCTCTATAATGGGTGAAGATTTGACGGTGGTAAGATGAGTTTGTACTTGTGCTCTGCTGGAGTTATATACTTCACAAGATGTGATGGCTGTGTAATAGTAATTATTTTTTATTTGTTGTGATTTTAATTTTAACATCAAGGAAATTTATAGTTGTTATTAATCATTGCATTTCATTATTCTCATCTGCTGAGTGAGCAGTGCATATATTCCCTTTCCACCACAAAAGCTGTATTACACTGTTTTATTGGAAACTGTCCCCTAGTAAAGGAATTACCATATTTGTAATTCTTACCCTTAAGTAAATATAGACAAGCTTGACAATGTTATGTTGCTAATTTGTAGTAATTAGTTTTAGTCTTTGGATAAAAGAGTAAGTACTGTGTGCTGTCCGCAGGCCTGTCAGTTTTCTAAAACTATGTCTGTTAACTATTACCAGAAGTTTGATGTTTCTTCAGTTATTCCAATTCACTATTTATATTTACAACATCATAGAGTTAAAAGTCCTCATATCTAAATCAGGCTTTAGTGACCAGGTGGTATAGCATGCCTGATGATATTTTTGTTGCTTTCTTTTCTACTAGGAGTGGGAGAATGACTTGATGTTGTAAAGGTTATTTTTAGGTTATTTGTTGATTTATATGAGACATTTAAGAGTAGGAAGCAGCCCAGTTTTTGTTTGTTTGTTTGTTTTTGGTCCACTGCATTAATACAAGGTCAGTGCACTAATTTGACTCTTATACTTCTTTTCCTTTCCAAAGAAGTTGTGTATGTTTAACACCAGACTGCTCAGTCTTGATATTATCCTCAAAGCAATCATGTTTTCCTTCCATTTCAGTTTAGGCTTGGATCCTTCAACCTGGAGAAAGTTGCGAACCCCGCTGAGGTCATTAGAGAACTTCTTTGTTACTGCCTGGACAACATCGCAGAAAACCAAGCCAAAAACGAGCATCTGCAGAAAGAAAATGAAAGGCTCCTGAGAGACTGGAACGACGTTCAGGGACGGTGAGTACCGTGTGCTTGCACTGCGTGGGTCTGGAGGAACGGTTTCTACACACGTGGTATGTATGGACCCGCCTCTTTCTACAATAAAAGCTGTTGTTATTTATACCCTTCTTGATATTATTAAACCATGCTATTAGTGACTAGCTCACGTGTGAAGAGTGCATTATGAATTTGAGGTCACTAACAGATTGTGAAAAATAAGTAGTCATTAAGGATCCAAACCCATTATTGTAATATTAATAAAACATTTAAGTAGAGAGGCGGAAGGGATGCCATAGGTGATGTGCAGGGTAGGTGCTTACCTTATATGATGTGCTGTGAAACTGACTTCTAGTTGGGAATCAAAGAATGGCAACTATATCAATTGATGTTTATTTTAGCTTTAAAATGATTTATTTTTCCTGATTGATTGTAAGTTCATAGGATAAGCACTTGTGACAGACAAAATGGTTGTGGCTACTGGGTAAAACTGGCTTTGCCTCTCATTTTTTTTAAGTGATGAAGAAAAAAAGTTACATAGCTTTCCAAAATGAACTTTCTCAAACAAACCATTCTCCCGGGTGGCTTGGTGCATAATTCACATTTGTTCTATTATGGAAAAAGATGTTTGAAGGAAATAAAGTATACATTGTGAACTCATATATTGTTACAGAGACCGTGCACTATGTGTATGTTTGCGTGTGTATAGTAACGCTTGGTATAGTTATAATGTATGTATATAATGATGGTAATAATCACTACATCCAGTAGATTTTTATCCTTTTATTTAAGCTATTTGCTCTCCAGTGTAAGAACACATATCTCATTTAGAATCTTTCTATGGCAGGCATTGTGATTGTTCTCAATATAGGACAGTTACTCAGGAAATAGACCAAACAAAGCAAAGAGTTTTCCAGCAATTCATGGATGTATATCACAATGAGAATAAATAATTATTTTTCTGTATATTCAATGATAGTCACTAATATTGCAAACTATGTAAAATTCCTTTTCTAAGCTCTGGTTATTAATATTTGATTTTCATTTATTTTATGAAGAAAGTATTTGTTTTGTCTTTTAGTTCTAAATTAATCTTATCTCCAGTTATATGTAGTAATAGGTAAATGATACAAAAACGAGGGCCCTTCCAAGTATTATGATGCCATGTGGAAATTAGATTTTTCCTTTAGCTTCTGTTTTATAATGAATCTAATGTATGTGATACAAAGCATTTTCAGGCTTTTGTCTGTAGTTTGGGTGTGTTTTCCTATGTCATATATGAAATGAATCGGATTAAAGGAGATGCACTGTGGTCGTGATAAGCCATTATATTTTTATATTTAAAACTCAGGGTACCCTTGGGGTGACAGGAGATCTGTTCCACAAATTACCCACAGACATGCACCCTAGGTACTGGTACTTGAACAAATTGCTTTAAAATGTCTGCCAGGGGTTGAAAGAGCTATTGTCTCATCAGTATTCAGCACCACTGCCCTGGAATTGAAAGCAGCAGGGAAGAGGACGCAGCAGGGAGACAGTCGCACCCTGGGCCGTGAGGCAGATCTGTGGGGATACATAGATTATGCGGACTGCAGATGTTTGATTTGCTCTTGGTGAACTACCCGGAACATGCTTTAGTCTCACTGTGGCTAGAGGTTTGCTATGCGCTCAAAAGCGTAGCCATGTCGCCTGTTGTCTACCTTACTGTGCTGTGAGGAGACTCCAGCTGTTTTCCATGGTGATGGTGGTGCTCATGCAGGCTCTGATGTCTGCTGCAGGGTCTGGGGTGTGACACTGAGGTGACTCTGCAGGCAGAGCCAATAATCCACTCCAGAGCATTCCAGGCTCTTGTCTGTACTTCGGATGTTAGATTAGCAGTTTTATCATTTCCCAAATGTAGTTTTGTCTCCTCTATGAGCAGAAAGTGGCCACATCGAGGAACTGTAAATGCCAAGTGTAACTGTAAGTGACCAAGCAGGACTTTCCTTCCCTGGTATCTTACCATCCTAGAAAATGAGCAAAGCATTTGTAGCTCCAGTGTCCATGAAGCAATAGCGTTGACTAAGTCTTTTTTTTTTCTTTTTTTATTTAAGGAGAAAAAGAGAAAAACAGAAAAAGGGTACAAGTAATACAAAATTTAAAAAATAAAGAGTAAGAAATCACTAGTTAATAGGTTACATATTCTCATCTTAGAAATAGTTGTTCAAGTTACAAAATTAAAACATATAAAGTGGACTTTTAAACAATGAGACTGCAAACAGTTTTGTTCAATGATCCAAAAAAACTCAGTAATATGGTTATCTATCTTATACACTTAAACATATATGCAGTTATAACCTTTAGAGCACTTTTTTCTTTTCTTTTGTACAATGACAATTACACATTTTGGGTTTTATTACTCCCACAGTTCTTATTACTTTTTTTGAAGAGAGTAAAACGAAATGCGACATATAAGAACAGAGTCAGTCAAATCCAAAGGATGGACATAATAGATAATGTAAAAACAAAATACAAGGTGATCAATAATGCTTACTATACTGCCTCTTGCTATTTTAAGAATTGCTAGTTATAATAAAATTGAACAAAACAGTAAAGAATAAAACCAAAGCATTGGAGACATTACAGGACTTTAAAAGAAGATAATAGTCAACCAGAATGGGCATCATATTGAATCTTACTGTCTTCACAGTTGTTGCCTATACTTTCGAACTTGGTACTATCAAGCAAAGCAGAATAGGGGAAAATCAGTCAAAATAAGATGGCGAGGGCAATACAGGATTTCAAATCAAGTTAATAGGAAATCAAAGTAGGTTACTATAATGTATCCTGCTATTTTTTATTTATTTTTCCCTTAATTAAAAAGATAAAAAGAAAAAAGTAAATAATTTTTTAAAAAGGGGGATTGAGATAAGAGAGGGCATAACAACAGAATAGTGCAGGTCAAAACATAACCATTTAAGCAAAATAGTGTTTCACCACAGGATATCCTGACATAAAAGTAGTTACCATAGTGTCTCTTTCCTTGAAATCTTTCTGAATATAACTTCGTATACTGTAGCACCAAACGTATCAAGACACTATAAAACCATTCAAGAGAATGACATTATTACAGAGTATTTAGAACCAATTAGCAGAAAATAAACAACGGTTTCTGTATAATCTCCTTGTTTATAAAAGTTTTTGCTTATATTATCATATATAATAAAATCCAATAAGATACAACCTTTTAAGACCGATGGAGGCAGAAGAATAAAAGCTTGATGGGCCTTCAAAACAAGATGATACTAAATCAGCACTAGCTATTATGATGTCTTGTGTTCTCCAAAATAGCTGTTCCTACCATCAGATCTTCTCTGCCTCATAATGACTATGTCTTTAGAGCAGTGATGGCAAACCTTTTAGAGAGCGAGTGCCCAAACGGCAACCCAAACGCAGAGTGCCAGCACTACAATCAGACCTGAATCCTCGGCTGCTGGGGCGAAGCTGGGGTGACTTGGTTAGCGAGCCAACAGAGAGGCTGTACCAGTGCCCACTGCAGGACCTGTGCCACAGGTTCCCCACCATTGCTTTGGATAATTAGAAATAGGCCATATGTGTACTGAGTTAGGTAACTGGGGACATAGAAACATGAGAATCATTAGATTTGAGGCCATGATGTTAGGCCCGGTCCCAGTTTAGGTTTTGGAGCAGACTACTTTCCCTGTCACTGTTAGCCATGATCAATCACTTCTTCCCAATAATGTTCCAGCTGCACATGGGGGTGAGGTAGCATTGCAGAGGGGAAAAGAACACAGAAAGATAGGCACTCCCTAGTAGCTATGGTTCTGGTGTATAGCTAGTGCCAAATAGGGAATGATACTAACAGAGACCGTTCACCTATCCATGTACTGACTAACAGAGAAATGTGCACAGTCTGTCAAGGGGAGAAGTGCATCACCACAATGTAGGAATGCTACCCCATTGTTTCCAAAGGTGAGAGTATCGCAGAGAAACTAAAGCACTCATAAGGCAGATAGTGTGTTTCTGGAGTTGTGGATACTTTTTTCCTTTACTTTTTGTGGACCTTTTTTTGCATGTACTTTGGTACTTGAATATAGGTTACTATTTTCATCAGAGCCAATTAGAAAGATAGTTCCATTTGGAATGATACAAACAAGGCTTGAACGGGAATGAGGAATTACAGGGCTAGTAAACTGAACTTTAATGCATAGAGTCTAACATATAGTTGCTATTATTTGTAGTTAGTTACTATTTGGTAATTATGGTTTTGCTCCATTTTGAACAAGTGGAATTACTGGATAAATTTTGTGCAATTTTAAACAAAGCAAGAAACATTAGAGAACTTGTATATGAATAGCCAGGTTATTAGCTATATTTATTTCACTGGGGTTTCCTACTTAATTTCAAATAACAGTTCTCAAGTTCCATGTTACTGAATAGCTCTTTTGTTTGCCCTCAGACCTCAATTTAGCAATTCTCTGGCTTTATTCTGAGTTATAGTTGTTAAACCCATAATTCGAGGCAGTTTCCAGTGAATTGAGTTGATACTCATGGGTTCATAAGAAGACCTTGAAAGCTCTTTTGCTTTGTCTTTGGGCTTTCTAGATGGAGTCGTATTATCTCCAGATGAATTCAATCTGATTTTTTAAAGAACTCGAGAGATACCGTCATGTTTCCTCGTAGCCCTTCACAGTGTTTAAGAGCAGTCACAGCCAGAAAGCCCTCCCCTGCTTCTCTTGGTAATCTGAGTCCTTCATGGCACAGTCGAAGGCCATTTCCTCTTGTCCTGTCGTCAGAAAGGATGAGGAACAGCTGTTCACCATCTTGTCCATGGCTTAAAGTCTTATTAAATCTTCACCACTGCTTTCTTTTCCAGTTCCTTTTGACATTTTTTAGCTTCTCAACTCTGCCCAGATTTTCTTCTGCTATACAACCCTGACCTAAATGTGAATTTGGCCAGGAGTGATTATTAATATCATGATTACTACACTGTTTTTGTAACATATATTCACATTTATGTATCTGTTGTTTGATTTTGGGCTCTACATTTAATGTGTCATTTTATTGGGGGTTTTATTTCTGCATGATGTTGCTTTGTCTTTGCTCTTATTTTTCTGTAACAGTTTTTGAAGTTTTTCTTGATTGTTTTGCCACCCTGAAGTATTTTATTAATATTCATTATTTTTCTCTACTTAGTTTTTCTAGTGTTGTGTACTTTTAATAATGGCTGTCTTTTGGCTGAGGTCCTTGATACCTCACTGCTGAGGTTACTGATTAAACTGTTGTCGTAATGACTGAGGAAAGGATGTACAGTCATCGGGCCTTTCCTGTTTATGGCTCTGTTCAGGTTGATGTTTGCCATGAAGATGACCTCTGAACAACTGAGGTCTGCTCTGTGTATATATGGGCTTGCTTTTAGTGTAGCTTTTCTGTGAACCCTCCGTCTCCCCAAATGAAGAGTCTCACCTAATAATTCCTGCCCAAAGCTTGAGGCATAGAGTTTGCAGGAAGGCAAGGTAACATCATAGTGGCACAGAAGAGAACTGGCATAGAAGAGGTGGGGAGGTTCTACGTATGTCCCACTCACTGCACAGTGAATAAATACACACCACTCTCAAAGTCCATTGAGAGTATGAGAGGAGTTAAATTCATGTCCTGTATGTAACTGTTCACAGTCACACTCTTTCTCAGCCAGCTGCCACTCTCAACTTTTCTGGGAAATGTGGTTTAGTTTTTGATTAGAAGTTTGGTTGCCAAAAAGTCTTAAAGATATACTAAAACCAACCACGCTTAACTCACATGATGCCATTTGTTCTGTTACTTTTTTTTTCCTATCACAGAAATGATGTTGTCTCTGACACTGTAGTTCTGATACTGGTAATCAGGTTAGCAAAATGTTTTATGTGAATTACATGACATTTTATTTTGATATTCTAAATATTAGAATATTGTAAAATGTTAATTTTAACAAAGTTTTAAGAATTAACTTGGTATTTGGTATGTGTACATAACCTTTCAATCCAGAATTTTTGAAATGATTCATGTGGAAATCAAATATGGATTTCATTAGAATTTACTAATTGACTGCCATTTCTAAAATTTTATGATTGCATAATACATGACTTTTATTGTATATTTTATGTATGTCCTATTCACACATGTAAAATTTGTATCATATTAGAAAACTGCATAAAAGTGAAAAGCATGCTTACATAACACCTTCTATCTGAATCACAAATACAGTTACATTTCCTTGCTTAAAATAAGCACCAACACTGGCAGTACCTCTTCACTTTTGGACCTATGTTTTTCCAAATTTTTGATGTTCTTTTTCAGAGGGCTTTGCTTGATGAAAGCAGTACTGTTAAGCTGATGTTTTTATAACAAAATTTTAGAAAAGCCAATGAAAGTGAAAAAGTATTGTCACAATGATGAGTGGTGTCAAGTGAGCAGAACATACAGTTCAGTCATGCAGGGAAGCATGGTATTGCAGGTGTCAGTGGGCACAGATAGGATATTAGAGTCATAAGATTAAAACGGCTGGAAAATCCTTGTGGCCTAATGATGTGGCTTGCCCAGCAGGTTGATGCACTGTGTTCTTAAGGCATTTGTGGTGACGCCAGTGTGAACAAACCTACCATGCAATCAGTCGCTTAAACAATAGCTCAATCATGTCTAGCAAGCACAGTACTTGATAATGGTAATAAAAAACTGTTGCTAGTTTATTTACTCCACTATACTTTTTATTATTACTTTGAACTATACATTTTCTGCATACTAAACACAAGAAGGCTATGTGAATCTGTACACTGTGATACACCCACAGCAGGCTCACATGTTTCATATTGAGTGTCTCTTGACTGAGTGAAGTGGCCATGTTGGGTGACTGACCTGTCCATTGATGGCGAACCTTTTGGGTACTCGATGATAAGAAACATCTAGCTGTGGCACATGTGCCTTGGTTCGTCACCACTGACCCATACATCTTTGTTTGTGTGAGTATTCTTTACATGGTGGTCATACAAAACCAAAATTGCCTGAATGATGCATTTCTTGAAAGGTATTCCCTTTGCCAAATGACATTGAACTATCAGAATCTCTGGCTTTCTGTTTCCATGTAAGGTGCCCCATTTAGCTTTCTCACTCAGCTGTTCCCCTGCCAAGTAAGGACATAAGCAGGCCATGGTACCTAGCTGGAATGGCATGATCTTTAAGATCCACATCTCCAAGGCCATGTGGTGCAGAAGATGTGAAGATCCAAGGACCAGCAATCTAAAGCACAAAGGATGGGTCTGCTTCCTGCCTCTGGATACCTTCAGTCCATAGTAATGTTGCACAGCAAAGTATCAGACCTTGCAGACACTGGCAGTGGCTTCAGTGTGGAAGAGCTGAGAGTGGCAAACACCAGCTTCTTAAGAAGGTGTCCTGGACTGCTGGAATCTGTGGGTATCCAGAGAAGGGGGACAAGTCCACCGAGTCCCTGCAAACCACTGGGCAGGAACAGTGCCACTGAAAAGTTTCCATTGGTCACCGATCTGGCAAGACCAGTCATGCCTGTCTGGAACATCCACAAGAAGGCCAGAGCCATTAGCAAGGGGAATAAACTTTGAGGTGTCTTCTATTCCATGTGTGGCCTGTGCCTGGCTTCAGAAATAGGGTGTTGAAAGAAAAAGTACAGTTCTCTGGGAGACATGAAAAGCATCAGTAAGGTGGAAGAAATAAGTGCATATTAACTCACTTACCATATTATTTACCCAGTAAATATCTACTAAGCATCTGTTGAGTATTCTGCTAGGCATTGAGGATGAAGCAGCCATTGAAACACTCCACATACTCTCTGCTCTCCTGGAGTTCACAACCTTAGCAAAAAGCATGCTGTAGAAGTCTGCCGTGCTTGGCTCTAGGTGTGCAGCCTCATATGTTCCTATTCATTCTACTAGAAATCAGCAGAGGCAGGTTATAGAAAACATTAAGGTGTGATGTGAAAAGTGTCGCATATCAACATTTTTGTTTCTAATTATTCAATGTAGTATGTCTGTATACATACATATTGCTACTGATCCATGTGTTTGAACAGATAGATGGATAAACACCTATGGGAAAAAAAGTATACTAAGTGTTATTGGAGGAAACAACCAGATCACATTTTAAAGAATATTTTACATGAAATAATTTATATTTATATATAATACATACGAGTTCATTTATATTACACACACACACACACACATATATATGCATGAAGTGTATGCAACTGCTGTTTTTTCTACCTTATATATCTCTTGGGATATTAAAATAAATGCAGTACAATGTTCTGTTAATTCATATAGGAGAATTGCAAAAAATATTATGATAAATAGTTTTTAAACTTTTATCTGTTGTATGTTATAAAATTGAAGACATACATTATCTTACATTTTTCTATTTTATTAATATCTCAGAATATCAAGTAGGATACTTTAATTCATTATATCTATGTGTGTATGTGTTTTATGTATATTTGCATATGTGGTTATGTGTTACTGAAGTATAACTAGTAAATCATGTTCTTCTTGTGGAGCAGTTTGTAGTCTAGTAAGATAATCCAACGGATTAAATTTATCAGTTTATCACAAACATCCTGGTTTCTATTTTATATTAATTAAATACTGAGAAAACAGATGACACATGTTTTTGAAATTCTTCATATGAAAACATTCCTTTGCAAATAAACTGGAAATGTGAATAAATTATTACATTTAAGCCTTTAGATTTTTAAAAGTTTCATTTCTACTAGTTTTAAATTTGATCTTTGTCTCAATATGTAAATTAAAAATACTAATAAGCAGTAATTTTCAATGACTCATTAGCACACTCTAAAACTTCTAAGTCAGTTGAAGTATATACACAAATGATCTTAATTCTGTTTTTCTTGATGTATTTTTTTGAATCTCATGTATTATACTGAATAAAATTAATGTTCAGAAAAATGAAATGACTTGTTTAATATTTTTAGATTTGAAAAATGTGTGAGTGCCAAGGAAGACTTGGAGACTGATCTTTATAAGCGGTTTATTCTGGTGCTGAATGAGAAGAAATCAAAGATCAGAAGCCTTCACAAATTGCTAAATGAAGTTCAAGAACTGGAAAAGAATATTGAACGTGAAAGGTATCACCTTCTGGTTTTGGATGACAAATGCATAAGTTTAAGTAGAATTTCTTCACAAACCTCATGGAAGTTAGGTGCCAACTTGTAATACTCTGAGAGTACCTGGTGAGCTGGGTTTGATAATCAGACTAAGAGTCGGGTGGCTTGGGCTAGAGAACTGTCAAGGAGATCCTTACCTGTCTGACTTGTATCTCACTACGCTTAATTTACAGAACCCGCAGGGGGCCCATTTAAGTATTAGTTAATTAATTTTTAGACATCAAACATGAATTTTAAAAATTCCTTCATCTATAATACTGAAGAATTTTGTGCACATTTGATGTGTAAGTCATGGTTCACTGTAGCATCAGGTGATAAATATGGACTATCAGGGAGCATTACTCATGTTATCTAAGAGTGTGGTCCTTTCTCTTCCGGCTAACAAATTTTCTGTGAGATTGGGTGTGCATTTGATTCATAGGGAAAAATCATAGGTGGCTGGTGGCTTCAAACACAATTTTTTAGACATTAGCAAATACACAAGATTGGGATCTATTTCCTAAACCTAAGAAGAAGCACAGCCTTCCCTATTGCAGAGTCTAAGAAACCTGTTCGCTGTTACTTGGTCCCAGTTCATGTACTGGTCTGGCACTAAGGTTTATCATGGTGTGACATAGGGCAAGTCTTTTAAGCTCTCTGTGCCTCCCTTTTGGGACAGTCATGTGGAACTTAGAACTGGTTTGGGATTACTAAAAGACCACACATTCACAAACCTACAGGGGAAATCTGGTAGGCTAGGATTTGATAGAAAAGTAGTAAGTGATAACAGCTGATTCAGGAATTAATTGTAGCGAGCATTAACAACATCCAGATCATTAGATAAGAGACACCATTCCTGGGAGTGTTAATGTACAGTCTCCACAGTGGTTCTTCTGAGTCATACCTATTTCACTGCATGTTTTTCTAGGTACAGCCTTTTTCTATAACTGATTATGGGTAAATCTGACATCTAACCAATTGTCATACATGGTTTTCAATTCCTCCTTCGTTTCTAGAGAAGCTACAGCCAGCTCGGAAACCCCAGCTGCCCGCGACCCCCTCTATGATGCGAGTACGGATGAGGGAAGTGGAAGTGAGTCTGAGCCCCCGGCGTCAGCTCCAGGTGAGCAAAAGAGGCTTCTTTGCTTGGTTGAGTATTCCTTGGGCTGAGTACATATTTGCTGAGCAGCCACGATGAAAACTGCTACAAGAAAAGATCTTCTGTAAAGACTGTAAAATGCAGCAGTTCTTTAGCAACAAGGCAAGCAAAAATGTGCGCGCACACACACCAGGGTATACTGTGGTGCATTAAGCAAGGATCTCAGAGCTGGGTGCTTTCAGTGTTTGAATTCTGTCTAATGAAGGCAACATAGGGGGCCGTATGGGGTCACTCAGAGTGGTTTAGATGACCACAACTTGAGGCCTCCTCTCCCTCTTCAGGAAAGTCTCACGTTGGAGTCAAACGAGGTAGAGAAGAGAAGCGAACAGGCAGGAAAGCAGTCCCCAGTGCGGGGCAGGGTGACTGGAGCTTGGATCCCGGCAGTAGGGAGATGAGCAGCAGGCGGGGTCTGTGTAGACCGCAGGCAGGCTCCCCTGAACCAGCAAGGGCTCTGAATGCGGTGTCCTGGGGGCAGCAAAGGCTCCTGGGAGGAGGGACAGGGGCCGGCGGAGTGGCCAGGAATTAGGACTTGAGGACTCTCAGCTGCGACTGTGGAAGCGGCGCTGGTGACCTCAGTACAGCCCTGCCAATCAGGTGATGAGGGACAGAGGGAGGGGAAGGAGAGGACTGGAGATGAGACTCCAAACCCAGCAACACTTGGACAGTGTCACTCCACAGAAAAGAAAGACATGGGCACAGCTGGCAGGAACAGCAAGAGAAGGCAGTGTTGTGGTTTTATCTTTAGAAGGAAGAAAGCATACACTTTTATGTCCATGAGAGTGACCCGAGAGCAGGCACACAACCTCAGGGCAGCGGCGGGGGAGGAAAGGCCGCGGGAACACTGTCTCTGAGGCCATCAGGGGGGATGGACTGCGTAGCTGGGGGAGGAGCCCAGGCACTTGCCTTCATGGTGACATCCATGGACAAAGACCTGAGGTAACTGGCCATGGCCAGGACGTGGACAGAGGCTGTTAAAGCCAGTTCATTGATTTAACGTGATTCGAATCAGATTTGACTTGGATCACAATCATTCTCTCTCTCTCTCTCTCTCTCTCTCTCTCTCTCTCTCTCTCTCTCTCACATGCTTTTGTATATGAGAATTAAATTTCTCCTCATTTGTACGTTACGCTTGTTGTACATTTCTCCCCATTGGAAATGGAATCATTTTTAACAGAATCACACGCAGTCAAAAGCTCAGAAAGGAAGAGAATCTGTACTGTTTCCAGTTTGGGCTTTCTGAAGTGTTCTTAGGTTCAGTGGCCATTGAATTTGTTCCTTATTCACAATGTCTTTCCAAATGTAAAGTGGATGAAAATTATTGTTGAAAAGAAAATATATGGTTAAAAACGGGGATATGAGAAGGAGATCTTTTATGTGTTCAGTCTATTTTAAGCCAAGATTTAAGCTACAACTCTACTATTTGAAATTTGGCAGAGTTTTTCTGTCTTCTGCGTTTACTCTGTATATTTGCTGTATTTTACTTATCATTATTGCTTTACCTCATATCTAGTTTACTATGTATTTAATACATACTCTGGTTCAAATTTTTATTTTTCCATTTACTTGTTTTTGGTAAGTTTTTGATGTCAGGAATTAAGAGTGGTTTTATTAGAAACTTTATTTCTTTTCTTCTTTGTGAGAAAACAATATTCAGGAAGCTGACATATGCTACGATACAGAATGAACCTTAGATCCAAAATGTTTGATACTGAATTAGGTATAAGAGTTCATAAAGATGAGGGGAAAATCATTTATATTAAATAATAAAATGGGCTCCCTTATAATTTACCAACTTCTATAGAAAGAGAGTGAATCGTTAGTCTATGATATATTATCTGTTTTTGCTTTGAGAGGGTGTTTTATTTTGTTTTTGAGCATTGTTCTGTTGTTTGGGCTTTCTCTATAAGTGCGGCTATGTGTTTGGGGCAGACTGTACACTTTTCTTCTTGGACTTATTCACCATCTCCTTATAATACAAATGAATACATAGTATGTGTGGATTTACTGTGTTTACTGCAGTTTCATGTGTGCTTTCTCTACAGTAAAAACAAAAGAAAGATTAATGGGGATTAATAAATTTACTCTGTCTTTGACAAAGCCATCTTTTCAAATGGCTAAATGTGTGATTTGATAACAATTTCATTGTAGAAATGGCATTTTCATCATTAGTTATTAAATATCCCATATTCCTCATGAATTGTTCAGATTGTCACTCAATTCCTACATACTAGAAGATGTTTAGTAAAATCAAAATCGCTTAATGATTGTTCTGCATTCACTAGGAAAAAACTCTATTTTTGTGTATATATCAAGAGGCTGGGTAGAGACACTGCAGTTTGAAGGAATTTGATACATCACATTATCTATGAGTGAAAAGTCCATTTTCTTGCCTTCATCTTCTCCCAAGTTTAAAATTTTCCCATGTCATTATGATTGCAGAGGGAAGAATTAATGATGAATAGTCCAACCTAATAATCTGCACTATGCTGTTGTACAATATACTCTATAAAATGAAAAACCTCCAAACTTTTACTTTATTGGCTAAAGTGAGGTGTCCATAGTAAATTACAAGTAGAAACTTAAACATTACAGGCAATGTCACCCCACACTACATTTTGTATTTTTCTGTAGCAATATTTACTTTCCCTATGTCTTGACTTCTGGAGTTTCTAGATAGATCGTAATAATATTAGTGACCTTGTTTCTTAAACTACAACTTCATTCAAAGTCCCTGAAGTTTATAGGTTTTTCATTTTGTTTCAGATCAAGGTTGTATTGATAAGACAGTTGTGGTCTCTACAGCTCAAGCCTCAGATTACAAAGGTACTTGGGTCTCCTTTTCACCATCTACTTGATATAAAGTCCATGTGGCTTTTGAGATGTTCTAGGAGTTTCCACCTCTCCTGCCTACAGAGTGTTGCTGTTCATTAGAAATCTCTTTGGTTATTGAAGGTGTTGTAAAATCCTTCTTTGCAAGAAACTATTTTTTTCTTTGGCTCTACATTGAAGAAATATCCTAGTTTATCTTCATGAGTAAACAAAACTCACCATAATATAGAGAGATGAAAGCACTATAGCAAGGGACCAAAGCTTATAGTACTTCCAGCAGCTGGCTCTTCATTTGCCTCACCAACAATAACAAAAAGACAATTGAACCTTATGCTTGTCTTTTAAATATTGTTGTAAAAATAAAATAAAATATTGTTGTACAATCACTTCAATGCACTGATAACAGTAAAATTGTAAAAATAGATTTTAAATGTACACTAATGCTCTTAAGAATTTTAGCTGTTATTGTGAAATACTTCTCAGTCTTAATGTAATTAAAAAAACATACAAATATATAGTGGAAAATTAGATTTATTTCCTAGACACAGATCTTTTCTGTGAAGCATTTTGAAGTCATGCTTATTTGCTTTCTTAATAGTTATCTGTCACAAAGTGAATTATTTTAATGTCTCATTAATTATTTTGATAAATGATCAATGGTTTTGAATAATTATTTCCTACAATGTAAATTGACATTTCTTACAATTAGCGAATAATTGAAGCAGCCTTATTTAAATTACAAATAAGAAAATGTTCTTCTAGAATGACCTTTCTTATTTTCACATTAAAGGTACCTAGGCATTAGAAAACAACATACTCTTTCTTTCTGCTTTTCTGCATAGTTATTAGCCTGAGATTTAGCACATTAATTTAATTAATCCTGCTTCTTAACCAACAGGAAGGTCCCTGTGTAACTGCTATCAGTCATTTGAGCTCCCACTTAGTTGGTGGGTTTCCTGTGAGGAAGTGTGGTTATAGAATAGCCTTTTTGAAAATAAATGAATGGCTATGCCAAACAGTCGATGAATACTGATATAGTTGCTTTTAAAAATAGAACAGAATCCCAAATTCCCAAGTATCAAAGGGCTTGTTGCTTTGAACAGTGAATGTCTACCCACAGAGGGGACAGCAGCATGTCCTGCCAAAGAGATTACTCAGAGACCCAACTTGAGAGTCACAGATGCTGCCTCCAATCTTATCCAGCAGGATTGTCATTGACACACTTACTAATGTGTTCTCAATAAAAAGCTCGATTCAGTAAAACCTGTCTCCAAAGAGAAACAGCAATTTAAGTATTTATTAGCAACCATGGGCTTTCATGTGTAACCATTGTTGCTAGAAATGACATCATGCACTTCAGAAATCTAGATTTTCTACCATTCTAGATTCTCTAGATTCTCTAGATTCTCTAGGGCAAGTTCACCAGTTTTTCTAGAGCAGAGTCCTAGAAACATTAGTTCATCACTTTTGGTCACACAGGAGAGAAACATGAAGTAGTAAAACTTGAAATTGGTAGCATTTAAATGTACAATTCTGAGCTAGAATTGCCCTTAATATGAGAAGCTTGATATAAGAGACTATTAGGGATACCTTTTATTCCTATACAGAAGAAAAAATCCTATTTGTATATAATTGCTCCAGGAAGATAGACTACATTATCAGATTGAACAAATAAAATACTTCACAATACTTAGCTTCAGAAAATAATTCTAGAATGCAAATGTTTGTATTGAAGTTATTCCTCTATATGTTACTTGCTTCATATTCCAACATTATTTATTTACTTGCAAACTTTCAATATAGCAATAGTTTCTAGCAAATCTGGTATTAAAGGGTAACTTTATTATGACCTCATAGGCAATGAATGACCTTTACATCTTTATATATTCTTAGGGAGACAAAAAAGAAATTTTGCTAAAAGTATTTGTCTTTGTGTCTCTGACTATGGATGGGTATAAAGTTTGGCAGATAGCTTCCTCTAAAAAGAAAAGTAAAATTGACCAAAAAAAGAAGTAAATAAATATTTCTAATTTTTTAGTGTACACTTGCAATACATAATAAATATATTTGTCGTAGCAAATTCATACATATACGTATGTTAGCCAATTGGCAACTATTTATGTCTTGCCCAGGACTCCCACTGCTGCTGGCTGGCCCCCTCCAGATCTTGGTCATTGTGGAGCTTTTGCCAGTACCTTGCAGATTATAAAAGACTGGGACTTCTTGGTCTGGGCCAGTGGAAGCTCACTGCATTTGCAACAGAGGATCATGCTTACACCTGGAGACACTGTCAGTGGAAGTGATGAACTTGGCCATCAGTGGATACATAGGCTTGGCCAGTGATGCTTGTAACCTAAGGTTGTGCTTAGGATTGGAGGATGCACATTCCTGGCTGAGGTGGGTAATGGAAAGACCCATGGCATTTTTGTAGCCACGCTGAAGGTGTATATATGCATGTAGAATGGAAAAAGAGAATCTGAACTTGTGGTGGATTCCCCCACCCACTTAAAAAATAGGAAAGAATTTTATTGGCTCACAATAAATTGAGCACAAACTCTATCATTTTTTTGGCTTACCACTTGGGCACAGAGGCAACCCACTGGAACTAAGCTTAAATGATAAAACAAAACAGAAAACACGAGGAATCAGTGGCTGGCCATCATAAATAGGAAAGATTTCAAACTTAGATTATTAAATATACAAGTAAATCAAAGATAGAAATCTTCAGAAGGAAAAAAAATCAAATTTCAGGTGATACATTATTTGACTTGTCTAGCTTTCAACAATAGTAGCTACAAAGAAACTGGAAAGTGTGATCTATACTTAATGAAAAAAAAGTGGTCAACAGAAACTTTCACATTGTCCCCAGATGTTGAATTTTATAGTCAAAGACTTCAAAGCATAATTATAAATATATTCAGAGAACTCAAGAAAAACATGTTTAAAGCATTAAATGAGAGTATGATAAAAATGTATCAACAAATAAAGATTCCAAATAAGGAGGTAGAAATTATTTTTAAGAAAAGAATAAAGTGCGATTCCAAGAGTAGGAGATATAAGAGTTACAACATAAAATTAATTAAAGCAATTCAATAATAGATACAAGGTGCCAAAAGAATATCACTGTACTTAAAGGCATGTCAGTAAAGCAAATGACTTCTGAACAAAACATAAAAAAAAAGAAAGAGAGAGCGAGACTTGTGAGACAATATCAAGTATAACTAACACTGCATGAGTAGTACAGTTCAAGAATGGCAGGGAAAAGAGAAAGATAGGAAAATACTTGAGAATATAATGCCCCAGATTTTCCAAATTTTATGAAAAACATTGTGTCCAAAAATCTCAGTAAACTCTAAGTAAGAAAACTGCCAGCAGATGCATGTGGCACATATCAATATGGCCAGACAGTTTTGAAAACCATAGAGAGACAGTCTCAATAGCAGGCTCCATATCCCCATATCCCCTGTCGTCTACCAGAGGAACATCCGTGTAACTGACACCAGACTCTTCATCTGGGGCGATGGAGGCCAGTGTGCAGTGGGATGACGTCTGCGGAAGCAGAAAACAAGGAAAATGTCAAAGTATCTTTCAAAATGAAATTGAAATCGAGATGTGTTATTAATTAAGACATTTATTGCTAATCTAGAATATCATCAGAAATGCTAAAGGAAACACTTTTGGTAGAAAAGAAATGACATAAAATTGTAGTGTGAATCTACAGGAAGAAATAAAGTTATTTGAAAACATATATTTGGCTTAAAATCAAATTCCTATAAATATACTTTTAAAAATTCTTTTAATGACTTTGACACCAGATTGTACCATCCAGTAGTTACCATGGTGATGTCAGGCTTATATATGTATGACAGGAATAGGACAAAGTGGAGCTTGGACTCTACTGGAGTGAAATTTCTATGTTTAACTGACCGTATGACAACAGTGATCTAAAATGGATTAATAAATAATGCATGCACTTAGTAATTTTAAATATTTCCTCAGTGGAAACCCTACAGCCAGATGGCTTCATTTACATTTTCTTCTTAACTTTAAAGAATAAATTAATACCAGTCTCTGAACTCCTTCAGAAAATAGAGAAGGTAACACTTTTTATCTCCTTGTATGAGGTAAATATTATGATAGCGCAGGCAGACATCTCCTGAAATTAAAACTAATATCTAATATCTGTCATCAGCATGGATGCAGAAACTCTAAGCAAAATATGAGCAGTGAGGCTAGAAATACACAGAAAAAATTATAGATTACAGCCAATTAAAGTTCATCTTTCTAATGCAATGGAAATTTTGCATCTGAAAATTGATTATTTTACCTTGTTAATGGAATAATGTACAAAAGCCACATGACCTTTTCTGTAAATACTGAGATCACTTGACCACATCAACACACATGGATAGCAAATACCCAACAAAGTAGCACTGTAAGAAAACTTCTCAAACTGATAATGTTACTTGGGCCAAAACTCACAAGTATTATCAAAGTTAATGCTAAATATGGAATTTTCCCCCTTTGACATCATTTTATTCAACCTTGTATTAGAAGTTCTACCCAATCAGTTAAGTGAATAAATAAGAGCCATCTAGATTATAAAAGAAGAGAAACTATTCAAGATATGCTAAATATTCACTAATGAACTATTACTGATAATAAGTTAGGCATGGTTATAGTATACAAGATCAATATACAAAAATAATTATTCTTCTATACACTTAGAAAACACAGTTCAAAAATAAAGAAAATAATTACTTCACAGTAACATCAAAAATAGATTTTAAGAATCTAGAAACAAATTTAACAAAAGAAATTCAAGACCTTTATATTAAAAACTATGAGATACTATTAAAAGAAAGAAGACAAAAATAGATGTAAAAAAAATCTGTGTTCATATACTGGAAAACTTAAATATTTTTAAACTAAATACTCAAATTGATAACAGTACAATCCCTAACAAAACACCAGCTGTTTTGACAGAAATTGAC